GTGTAGTCCTGCAATGGCCAAATTCTCATTTGTTCTACAAGTCTGGGGAGGGAGGAGATCTAACATTAATTGGTTCTGTCTTCTTCCTGATCATTGGCAAGTAAGTAATTGCTCTAATAGGATTTAAAATGAAGTCCTGGCCAGTTTGGCTCAGAGGTTTGGAGCATCAGCCTGAGGACCAGAGAGTCTCCGGTTCAGTTCCCGCTAGGGGCACGTATCAAAAATAAATAAATAAATAAATAAATAAATAAATAAATAAATAAAATGCATTAAAAAAATAAAGAGGTGTGAATGAAAACAAAAACATAACATACCATAACTTATGGGATGCAGCCAAAGCAGTGTTAAGAGGGAAATTTATAGCTATAAATGGCTACATTTAAAAAGGAAGTTCTCAGTCAGCCGGTGTGGCTCAATGGTTGAGCATCGACCCATGCACCAAGAGATCACTGGTTTGATTCTTAGTCAGGGCACATACCCAAGTTGTGAGCCAAATCCCCATTGGGGGCATGCAGGAGGTGGCCAATCAATGTTCTCTCTCATCAATGTTTCTCTCTCTCCCTCTCTTTTCCTCTCTCTCAAATCAATAAAGGAAAAATAAATAATAAAATAAAGCTCTCAAATCATCAACCTACGTTTACCACTTAAGGACCTAGAAAAAAAAAAAAAAAGAATAAAATAAGGCCAAAGCTAGCAGAAAGAAGGACAAATAAAGATTAGAACAGAGGTACGTAAAATAGAGAATAGAAAAACAATAGAGCCTTGACTGGTGTGTTTCAGTGGTTAGAGTGTTGACCTGCACACCAAACAACTACATACATATCAATAATTACTTAAAATATTGTTTTTTGCTTTACTGACTTTAGAGAGAGGGGAAGGGAAAGGGAGAGACAGAGACAAACATTGATGAGAGAGAACATCAATTGGCCACCTCCTGCATGACCCCCACTGGGGATCAGGCCCACAACTCAGGCAAGTGTTCTGACTGGGAATTGAACAGGTGAGCTCCTGGTGCATGGGTCAATGCTCAACCACTGAGCCACACTAGCAGGGCTCAATAATTACTTTAAATGCAAATGGATTAAAGGTTCCAATCCAGACCAATGGAGCCCTGGCCAGTGTGGCTAAATGGTTAGTGATGGTCTACACACTGAAGGGTCACTGGTTTAATTCCCAGTCAAGGGCATATACCTGGGTTGCAGGTTTGGTCTTTGGCCCTGGTTGGGGCATGTGTGAGAGGCAACCAATTGATGTCTCTCTCCCACATTCTCTCTTTCTCTCTCTCTCCTCCCCCCTCCTTCCACTCTCTAAAAATAATGGAAAAAATATCCTCAAGTGAGAATTAACAAACAAACAAAAGGCAAATAGGTAAAGAAAATGTGGTACATATATACAATGGAATACTACTCAGCCATAAAAAAGAAGAATGAAATGTTACCATTTGTGACTACATGGATAGACCCAGAGGGTATTATGCTAAGGGAAATGTCAGACACAAAAAGACAAATACTGTATGATTTCACTTATCTGTGGAATCTAAAAAAACAAAATAAACAAACACAACAGAAACTCATAGATACAGAGAACAGACACACTGCCAGGTGGGTGGGGTTGGAGGGTGAAAAGGTGAAGGGACTGAGAAGCACCAGCTGGTGGTCATAAGGATGTCGGGCACAGCACAGGGCACAGAGTCGATTGTCATCACTACGTGTGGTGTCAGACGTACGGGGGAGGAGGGGTCACTTTGTAAGTTATATAAATGTTTAACCACTATGCTGTCTCTCTTGGCCTGCACACGCTGGTAGGAGTGAAGGGGAGCATAGCAAGGGAACAAAATGCTCCAGGTCTCTGGATGCAGCCCAATTTATTTGCAGGGTGGTTCCCCAAGTTACATGTAGATTTATGTAAATTATTTCCTTGAGATGGTGTCTCTGCAAACCATATGGCCTAGCCTTATCTCTCGCTTTTTATGGTGGAAAGAGACTTCAAAGCTAAAAAATAACAAACCCAGCCAAGCCTGGGCCCATTATCCTCATGGGGTGGTCTCCCAACCCTTTGTCATGCAAACCTTATCTATTCTCATGCAAACAAAGCATGTAGAGGCACTCAAGGCGGTTTTCCAGCCTTCCAATCAAACCTGTCTGTCCACACACTTTAATCCTAGGCTGACCAGGTTTCAAGAATGCATATCACAAGGTCACGAATCGAATCGTTCATCCACCAAACCCCCATCCCTACACCACTATGCTATACAGCTAAAACTGATAGAATATTGAATGTCAACTGTAATTGAAAAATAATTTGAAAAACATTGGTTTTTAATCCTCACCTGAGGACATGCCTGGAGAGAGGCCTCCCTGAGCTGCCTCCTGGAGGGGAAGGGACCCAGATGCCTTGGTTCCTGGCACGTTGTTGGAGAGCCTTCGGGGCTGGGTGTCCAGCCTGCTCTCATTTCAGTGGGAGAAGATGGGAGTCCAGAGTGAGGGGCACTGTGGGAGATCACTGGGCAAGGAGACAACCGCCGAATGCCAACATGATTGCAGCTGGTTACCAAAGGCATTTTATCACAAGGTCACAGAGCTGCAGTGTCTCCGTCACTTGCAGGCAACAGGAAAGGGGGTGGCTTTTGCCCGTGTCCCTGTGCAGACAGAAGAGGCCCCAGGCCGACTGCGGGGAGGTCTGCGGGCAGCCTTACAACCCAGAGACCAAAAGGAACCACACGGGCTGGTCTGAAATGAACACTTTCCAACTGAAAGCAGCTTGAGGCAGGTAGTCCTGTCTCGGCCGGCATCTTCCCTGACAAAGGTCAGTCTTCACCTTCGCAGAGCCTGTCTGGGGTCTTTTTGCATCTATGAGAACAGATCTTTGGAAGGTCAAAGTACTTTTCCTTTTTCGGGACCCCTCAGAGCACAGGCACCGCTCTGTGGGGACCACAGATCCCCTCATTGTTATTAACTGATGACTGTTAACTGTCCTGTACCCATCTGTGTAGATGTGTGTGTCTCTCATTTTATTTGACATCCAGTCCCAGAGGTTTCCCCACCCTGCCCTCCCCCGCCTCCCTAATCTACCACCGACGGATTTTATGTGACCCATTATGTCTCCCTCTGATTGTAATGTGTAAAATAAGGTCAAGCCCTGGCCAGTTTGGCTCAGCGGTTAGAGTGTTGGCCCGCGGACCAGTGAGTCGCAGGTTCGATTCCGGTCAAGGGCACGGACCTCTGTTGTGGTTCAGTCCCAGCCCTGGTCGGGTCGTGCAGGAGGCAACCAATCAATGTGTCTCTCTCACACTGATGTTTCTCTCCCCACCTTCCTCTCTGTAAGAAAATCAACGGAAAATTATCCTCGGGTGAGGATTTAAAAAACTAAGGTGCAAAACTGCCATCCTCCAGAGCACATCTCAATCCGGTGAGATTCTGCTTCTTGATAATTGCCGAGTTTGGTTAAAATAAAGTCACAAACGTTCTCTGTGGGTTTGAGTGTTTCTCATGTCGACCCCTCCCGGGAGCTGCGGGAGCCCTCGGGGTGGAGCCCCCGCCCCCCGCCCATGCAGGGGCCCCGGCTCTCCCAGCAGCCATCCACCCTCTCCTAATCTTACACTTTTCTGCCTGGAGCTTTATTCTGAGACAGACTAGTACGGCAGGACGAGCGAAACAGGGAAACTGAGGCAGATCAACGACCAAGCAGTTTACCACCATCTAGTAAATCACAAAATGCTGTCTTCTGTAACCAGGGACACTTGAGAGCAAAAAATTTGCCCTTTCCCCTCTGCCAGAGGGTAAGCAGCTTAAACCCCTGCTCGGGGAGACAGACAGCAGGACACTCAGTGCCATTTGCCAGCCGCGCCCCCAAACAGATGAAGTTAAGGCACAAATCTCATTCTGGCACATCATCTTAAAAGTGATGAATATGTCATTGATACCCTCCCCTAAACGCCCAGCCTCTAAAAACCCTCCAGTGGAAGTCCCAGCACAACTGTCCCTCCCGGGAGCTCGCCAGTGCCTTTCCCTTCCCTGGTTCTTCCCCACCGGCAGGCATCTCCTAGTCTCTAAGGGACCCCAGGACACTTGCCACCAGGGAGCAATAGACAGCGGATGCTCGACCTGGGCAGACCCTGACCCTGTCCTCCTCCGCAAGGCCCCCCTTTCTGTGGCTCCCCAGTGAGCCAGAGCAGCCCCGCCTGGCTCTCCTGTTGCTCCTTCTGTCCCAGGCTCTTCCTTGTCCCACTGTCCCCAGCTTTAATGACATCCTCTCGGAATCACCTGGACGTGTACTGTGAAATCTTTGCTGCAGGAAACCAGGAATCCACTGGTTGGGGGTACTCAGGACCAGGTCCCCTTTCCTTCCTCCCACCCTACTGTGCCTTCACTCAGCTTCTGAGGGGCCCACTTTCGATCTGTCCTCTCAGGGGAGTTATTCCTCACTTGAGCCTTTATGGTACTTCTGGGGGGCTCTCTAGCCCGGTCCTCCCCTACTCCCTCTCTAGCCCGGTCCTCCCCTGCTCCCCCTCTAGCCCGGTCCTCCCGGGCTCCCCCTCTAGCCCGCTCCTCCCCTGCTCCCCCTCTAGCCCGGTCCTTCCCTGCTCCACCCTCAGCACCGTGCTCCCCTGCTCCCCCTCTAACCCGGTCCTCCCGGGCTCCCCCTCTAGCCCGGTCCTTCCCTGCTCCACCCTCAGCACCGTGCTCCCCGGCTCCCCCTCTAACCCGGTCCTCCCCGGCTCCCCCTCTAGCCCGGTCCTCCCCTGCTCCACCCTCAGCACCGTGCTCCCCTGCTCACCCTCTAACCCGGTCCTCCCGGGCTCCCCCTCTAGCCCGCTCCTCCCCTGCTCCCCCTCTAGCCCGGTCCTTCCCTGCTCCACCCTCAGCACCGTGCTCCCCTGCTCCCCCTCTAGCCCGGTCCTCCCCGGCTCCCCCTCTAGCCCGGTCCTCCCCGGCTCCCCCTCTAGCACGGTCCTTCCCTGCTCCACCCTCAGCACCGTGCTCCCCGGCTCCCCCTCTAACCCGGTCCTCCCCGGCTCCCCCTCTAGCCCGGTCCTCCCCTGCTCCACCCTCAGCACCGTGCTCCCCTGCTCACCCTCTAACCCGGTCCTCCCCGGCTCCCCCTCTAGCCCGGTCCTCCCCGGCTCCCTCTCTAGCCCGGTCCTCCCCGGCTCCCTCTCTAACCCGGTCCTCCCCGGCTCCCCCTCTAGCCCGCTCCTCCCCTGCTCCCCCTCTAGCCCGGTCCTTCCCTGCTCCACCCTCAGCACCGTGCTCCCCTGCTCCCCCTCTAGCCCGGTCCTCCCCTGCTCCCCCTCTAGCCCGCTCCTCCCCGGCTCCCTCTCTAGCCCGGTCCTTCCCGGGCTCCACCTTCAGCACCGTGCTCCCCTGCTCCCCCTCTAGCCCGGTCCTCCCGGGCTCCACCCTCAGCACCGTGCTCCCCGGCTCCCCCTCTAACCCGGTCCTCCCCGGCTCCCCCTCTAGCCCGGTCCTCCCCGGCTCCCCCTCTAGCCCGGTCCTCCCCGGCTCCCCTCTAGCCCGTCCTCCCCTGCTCCACCCTCTAAGCCCGCTCCTCCCCTGCCCCCCTCTAGCCCGTTCCTCCCCTGCTCCACCCTCAGCACCGTGCTCCCTGCTCCCCTCTAGCCGGTCCTCCCCTGTCCCCCCTAGCCCGTCCTCCCCGCGCTCCCCTCTAGCCCGGTCCTCCCCGTGCTCCCCTCTAGCCCGGTCCTCCCCGGCTCCCCTCTAGCCCGCTCCCTCCCCGGCTCCCCCTCTAGCCCGGTCCTCCCCGGCTCCCCCTCTAGCCCGGTCCTCCCCGGCTCCCCCTCTAGCCCGCTCCTCCCCGGCTCCCCCTCTAGCCCGCTCCTCCCCGGCTCCCCCTCTAGCCCGCTCCTCCCCGGCTCCCCCTCTAGCCCGCTCCTCCCCGGCTCCCCCTCTAGCCCGCTCCTCCCCGGCTCCCCCTCTAGCCCGCTCCTCCCCGGCTCCCCCTCTAGCCCGGTCCTCCCCGGCTCCCCCTCTAGCCCGGTCCTCCCCGGCTCCCCCTCTAGCCCGGTCCTCCCCGCTCCCCCTCTAGCCCGGTCCTCCCCGGCTCCCCCTCTACGCCCGGTCCTCCCGGCTCCCCGCTCTAAGCCCGGTCCTCCCCGGCCTCCCCCTCTAGCCCGGTCCTCCCCGGCTCCCCCTCTAGCCCGGTCCTCCCGGCTCCCCCTCTAGCCCGGTCCTCCCCGGCTCCCCCTCTAGCCCGGTCCTCCCCGGCTCCCCCTCTAGCCCGGTCCTCCCCCGGCTCCCCCTCTAGGCCCGGTCCTCTCCCGGCTCCCTCTCTAGCCCGGTCCTCCCCGGCTCCCCCTCTAGCCCGGTCCTCCCCGGCTCCCCCTCTAGCCCGGTCCTCCCCGGCTCCCCCTCTAGCCCGGTCCTCCCCGGCTCCCCCTCTAGCCCGGTCCTCCCCGGCTCCCCCTCTAGCCCGTCCTCCCCGGCTCCCCCTCTAGCCCGCTCCTCCCCGGCTCCCCCTCTAGCCCGGTCCTCCCGGCTCCCCCTCTAGCCCGGTCCTCCCCGGCTCCCTCTCTAGCCCGGTCCTCCCCGGCTCCCTCTCTAGCCCGGTCCTCCCCTACTCCACCCTCAGCACCGTGCTCCCCGGCTCCCCCTCTAGCCCGGTCCTCCCCTGCTCCCCCTCTAGCCCGGTCCTCCCCTGCTCCACCCTCAGCACCGTGCTCCCCGGCTCCATCTTTGCTACTTATGAGTTACGTAACCTTGAGCAACATACCACATCTCTCTGGGCATTCGTTTCTTCATCTGCATTTAGGGTTGATAATGTTTACCCCTCCGGATTCAGCCCACCTTCTCCACCCTGCCGCGGCCTGGAGGCTGACCCTCAGGCTGCACTACCCGGCCTCTGGGATTCGGCCAACGGGAGGAGCGTCGGAGAGCAGAGGGAGGGAGGGCGCAGCCGGGAGCCTCCGTCCTCCTTCCTCAGGCCGTGCTTCTCCGTGGGTGGCACTGTGGGTGGACGGCTTCCCACCGTGGCCCGTCGCTGGGAGCCTCTGGGTGGCTGAGACTTCGCCCACAGCACTGTAAATAGTCCCTCTGTGAACCTCTCCTTGGAGCTGCAGACGACAAAGAGATTCTCCAGGTAACCTCACAGGTGGTCTGATCACAAATTCCTGATGGAGCTGGTCATGGTGGGTAGTCACACCCCAGGCAGGTAACTGCTTCAGCAAAGGTTTCTCATGACCTGAAGCCAGCCCTGTCCACTGTCCTCCTGTGTCTCGGTGAACCCACCTTTGCAAGCCAGGCATCCCTTCGCAGAACGCGGCGCTCGGCCGCAGCACACGCTGGACGCGCAACGACCGAGGTGCGCGGGCCCTGCGGCTGTCGCGCGCATTGGCGACGTGCTCCGCGTTTAAATAACTCCGAGCGCATGAAAGAAACTGCAAACTGTTCTTCTAGAAGGCGTTTCTCTGTCTGCTGAGATTTGTTTCCGAGAGTACCCTCTGTTTGGCTCAAATGCATTTTTATAAAAATTCTCTGGGTCGACAGCGACCTGGTGATTCTGTTTCCCCGACCCAGGGCGGTCGAGGGCGTCGGAGGACAGCGGCCATGCTCTCAGCACGGCACCTGGGCCTCCTTTGAGCTCCTCATGCTTTTCTCCAACGTTGAATTAGCACCTCGTTCTGCAAGCGGTGGTTTTCTTGTCCGTTTCTGCCAGCGGACCGGGTCTGAAATGCAGAGGCTCTTCTGTGTCGTGTGCCCAGCGCTGAGCAGGAGCCGAGCAAGGGCTGGCCTGAGCATCTGCCCGTGGAGCGGAGGCAGGAGCCGGCCGAGCGCGGGGTCCAGGCTGTGCGGACCTGACGGCCCAGGGCTGACCGGCCGCCGGAGACAGCAGGTAGGACAGGTGGCGGCGGCAGTGGTCTCCGCCTGGCTGCACAGGAGAGCAGGAGCCTGAACTGTCCCCAGGCCCGCCGGGCGCCCAGTCCGCCTGTGCTCTCCCAGCTCGTGCCCTCCCAGAGGTGTCTCCTAACTCGCTGGAGGGATTCCCGGGGTCTCCACCTCAAACCTAGTTTTGGCTTACACAGCAGTCTCCATGCTCCTACCCCCTAGCGCCCTGGGCCTCTCCCTTCAAGTTAGTTCCTCTCGCCCCTGAGGACGCCGGCAGTGCTCCGAGGACCAGGCCTGCAGAGACCAGAGGGGCAGGAGCTTCAGGAAGGTCTCTGGCGGCCTGAGCACCGAGCCACCGCCCTTCCAGATGAGGGGGACCGCCCCCGGCCAGCGAGAGGTCAGCCTCAGGGGACCCAGTGGCGGAGGCTGCAGAAAGGGCACCCGGCTGCCAAGGGGACTTGGCGAGCTCCGAGGCCATCAGCCAGAGGGCCCGCCTCATCTGCCCCAAGCCCAGAATACAGAACGGCTTTAACCGAAGGCTCCTGTCCGTTTTTCCGTAAAAAGGAAAAAACCGCAACACCCAGGCAAGGGAACAGGCTTCCGTGGGCGTTTTCGAAGTGGGCTGGAGAGGCGGCTCAGCTGCTGAAGACTCTGCAGGTGGGGGGCGGGGGGCAAGTCTCAGCCCAGTCCTGTTTCACCCCGTTGCAGGGCCTCTGCCTGCCTCCCAGTCTCTTTCCTATTTGAAACTGTTAGAAAGAAACAGCAAGCCCTGGCCAGTGTGGCTCAGCAGTTGGAGCGTTGGCCCACGGACCAATGAGTTGCAGGTTCGATTCCTGCAAGGGCGTGTACCTTGGTTTCGGTTCACCCTCGGCCCTGGTCAGGGTCGTGGGGGCGGAGCCGGTGGATGTGTGTCTCTCACATTGATGTTTCTCTGTCTCTCTCTCCCTCCCTCTCACTGTATCTGAAGATAAATGGAAAAAATATTGGTGAGGATTAAAAAAAAGAAAGAAACAACAAGCTAAGCCCGCGCAGACCTCACACCACCCTGACCGCAGTTCCAGACTCTCCCAGGAGCGGGCGGGCTTCTAAACCCGCCGTCTGGACGGTCCGGACAGCTCCACTGAGGTGTCTGTCGACGGGACCCCTAAAACATTGCCTGACACAGTCCACGCTCATAACTTCCCTGTCCCCCGCTTTTCCTGCCTTTAAAATGCTTCCATCTTGTACAACTCCTGAGAATGCCTTTCCGTTTCATAGGTGGGGTGCTGCCTGATGTATGAATCATTCAACACAGCCAATTAGACCTTCACCTGGACTCTGTTTTTAACAGAAATCAGAAGGGATTCACTGTGGGGTGACCTGCCTGCCCTCCTTTGCCCAGGACAGGCAGATCTGTAAGGGACTGGACACAGACCCTCAGCACCGAAAGGGGGCCCGTGGGGTCCTGCAGAGGTGTGACATCCTGCTGCACCCCTGGGGTTTTTCACTCTGCTCCCCTTCCCCGCACCGCTGTGCACAGCAGCCGAGCTCTCAGCCCTGACATCGCCGGGAATCACCTGCTGAGCTTTCCAAACTCGCTCCTGGGCTGCCCTGAGCTTCTGGTCAGTGGGTCTGGAGTGGGGCCCAGCGAGCAGGGGACTGAAAAGCTCCTGCTTTGACATGTAGTCAGGGTTGAGACCCACTGGTCCCCAGTTCTTGTTCTTTCCCTTGTGGTCAGCCACCCCTGCGGTCCTGGGACACAGGCCGGTGCATCTGTCAGACCCCAGTCCATCAGCGTCCCCTGCGAAGGCGTCACCAATGCTGGTTCTCAGGCATGGCCGGTGTGCTCAGTTGGTTGGGCGTTGTCTCGTGCACCAAAAAGTTGCCTGTTCGATTCCTGGTCAGGGTACATGCCCAGGGGGCGGGTTTGATCCCCACTGAGGGACAATCAGAAGGCAGCCATATCCATGTTTTACTCTCCCTCTCCCTTCCTCTTTCTAAAAATCAATCAACCGCCCTGGCCAGTTTGGCTCAGCGGTTAGAGCGTCGGCCTGCAGTCCAGAGAAACCCGGGTTTGGTTCCCGCTAAGGGCACGTACCTTGGTTGGGTCCTGCAGGTGGCAGCCACTCAATGTGTCCCTTTCACGTCGATGTTTCTCTCTCTCTCTCTCTCTCTCTCTCTCTCTCTCTCCCTTCCACTCTATCTGAACAAAAAATGGAAAAGGTGTCTTCGAATGAGGATAAAAAAAAAAAAACAATCGACTATTCTTATTATAAGATATGCTGATTCTAGGTCTATAGACTCAGAAACTCTGGGCAGGGCCCGCAGTCAGGGTCCCAACAAGTACTCCAGGGGGTTCTGACGTGCTCTCAAATGTGAGTCTCTGCCCTAAAACAACAGTAGAATCATCCTGTAGTTCCAGCACTTACCAGACGTTAACAGGACAGGACTCACCTGGGGGTCGCACTGAGATGTAGATTCTGGCCGGTGTGGCTCAGTGGTTGAGCATGAACCCTGCACCAAGAGGTCACCAGTTTGATTCCCAGTCAGGGCATATGCCCAGGTTATGGGCCCAATCCCCAGTGGGGGGCATGCAGGAGGCGGCCAGTCGATGTTCTCTCTCATCAATGTTTCTATCTCTCTCTCTCCCTCTCCCTTCCTTGCTCTCTAAAATCAATAAAGAAAAAAAAAATGCTTTTTAAAGATGTAGATTCCCGTGCAGATTTGGAGGGCACGCTCTTTGCCCAGTGCGGTCCTGAGCCAGGTGGGCGGCAGGTGACAGTCATTGATGGAGTACCTGCTGTGCGCAGGACACCAAGCTAAGTCCATGCCTGTCTCATCTGTGTCCATCTTCCTGGAGACACCAAGAGGCGGTGCTATTGTTAGCATGTCCACTTCTTTTTTTTTTTTTTTATCCTCACCCGAGGACATTTTTCCATTTTTTGTTCAGGTAGAGTGGGAGGGAGAGAGAGGAACAGAGAGAGAGAGAGAAACATCGATGTGAAAGGAACACATCGAGTGGCTGCCACCCGCACAACCGACCAGGGCCGGGGACAAACTGCAACCGAGGCACGCGCCCTTAGCGGGAACCGAACCCGGGTCTCTCAGGACCGCAGGCCGACGCTCTAACCGCTGAGCCAAACCGGCCAGGGCAGCATGTCCACTTCTTAACAGCCTCCCTGAGAAATAACTGGCATACCAAACAGTTCACCCCTTTCAAGGGTCCAGTTCAATGGCTTTTTGTGAATTCGCAGAGGTGAGCAGCATCACCACGGTGAATTTTAGACCATTTTCCTCACCTCAAGGAAACCCAGCTCCAGGAGCTGTCACCCCCGCCCCATCCCGTAGCCCCAGGTGCCCTCCGTGTCCCATACACAGAGCTGCCTGTTCTGGACTCACAGAAAAGGGATCGCAGCCCACCTGCCTCTGTGACTGGCTCCTTCACTCGCATGTTGTCGAGGTTCATCCCTGAGGTGCCCTGTGTCAGGACCCCACTTCTATCTCTCTTTTTTTTCATGTTATAAAGTAAGTTTTATTTATTTTTTATTTTTTAATTAATTAATTTTTGTTACAGATGCTTCTCCTTTTCCCCCCACTGATTCCCCCTCCTCCCCGCTCCCTGCCCTCTCCCCAGCTTTGTTTTGTCCATGTCCATTGTTCATGCATACATGCATGTAAGTTCTGTGGTTTATCTCTCCCCCCGACACCCTCTTCTGGGGATTGTCAGTCTGTACCCCACTTCCACGTCTCTGGGACTACCCCGTTCCTCAGATTGTTATGTTCATTATATTCCACAAATAAGTGAGATCATGTGGTATTCATCTTTTTCAGCTTGGCTTGTTTCACTTAGGATAATACTTTCCAGGTCCCTCCATGTCGTCTCAAATAATAAGAGATCTTTCTTTCTTGCAGCTGCATAGTAATCCATTGTGTATATGTACCACTGCTTTTTTATCCATTCATCTACTGATGGACACTTGGGCTGTTTCCAGGTCTTAGTTATTGTAACTAGCGCTGCTACGAATGTGGGGGCACATATATTCTTTCTGATTGGTGTTTCAGGCTTCTTAGGGTATATTCCTAGAAGTGGGATCACTGGGTCAAATGGCAATTCACTTCTCTCTTTTTTAATCCTCACCTGAGGATATTTTTACCTTTATCTTTAGACACAGTGGGAGGGAGGGAGGGAGAAAGAGAGAGAAAGAGAGAGAGAGAGAGAGAGAGAGAGAGAACCAGAGATGCACAGCCGAATTGTACAGAAGCACTTTATTCACCAGCGGGTTGGGGGGCTCTCCCCAAATCACAGCCCTGAGCCTCCTTTGTTCTTTGCTTATATAGGCACAAACTACAGAAAAAACTACATTCTTCTTGGCTCCGCTTAATTGGTGCCGGGCTGATGCAGACTGCTCCAGAGGCAAAGGGGGGATCCGTTGCAGGGGTCAGGGCAGTCATTAATCTCTTCCTTTTTATGGTCCCTCCGAGTTTCCCAAGCCCATCATATCTTTATGGTTCCTCTGGGTGTCAGTCCCAGGTTTTTTATGTGTTTTTTTTTTGTTTGTTTGTTTGTTTTTTAAGAAAACTGCTCAGGTGGTTACATGCAGGAATAACTGATCAGAATGAAGTTTGATTTTTAAAGTAGCCCAGCTCATTCCCCACTGGTTTTACATACGTGAGTCAAGTCGTTGACTCCCCTCCTTCTCTGGGACAGCGCTATGTTGTCCCTTAACTACAAGGAGTTTTACAGAGTCTATTCTCCTCCGTACAGTTTTCATAAGGTTGTTCATTATGCAAGGCCCCAAGGTTAGAAGTAAGCATAATATGGCCAGAGGACTGGCCATGGCTGGTAATAAAGTTGTTAGCCATGGAGACCAGTTAAACATTCTCAGATCCCCGTCTCCTTTTTCTCATTCCTTGATATTTCTCCTAAAGATAAGCTTTCTTGTATAACTCGAGTTGTTAGCATAGAAACAGCAGGCTTTGCCCAGTGCCACAGAGTCCTCCCTGCTTGAGGAGAAGGAGATCTAAACCTCCTCTGCTTTGTATTGCTGGAGGTTACACTTAGGTGGGAGTATGCAAGTCCCTTGCCCCTGGATATCCCCCAAAGTTAACTTGAGCTGTTTCCATGTACAGTTGTCAGCATTTGGGGTCTGGGAAATGGGCTTTGAGAGGCTTAGCCCTATATAATAAGGTGGCCTCAAATTTAGGCACAACCAGCAGTCAGCCCCTATGTCCTTCCTGTGGCCCAGTAAAGACCTGGCTGACTGATGACATTAATCTTGATGGGGTTAGAGTTCTCTATAGGGAAACCCTTGGGCTCGGTTAACCTTCTAAAACCTATATGAGGGTCCCTGCTTCTCAGATAGCCCTTAGTAGTAAATATGGTTTCACAACCCCGAGATGGACAAAAGTATTCATTTGCATTCAGGCAACTCGTGGTGACTGTACCACTCCCTGGGCATATATAGATTCCTACCCCTTGTAGTCCCCATTCCCTCGTAGGTGTCCCCTAACCCCAGGGAAGGGGCCTTTCAATATGACATCAATCTTCAGTAGTACTATCTGTGCCTGGGGTGCCTCTCATGAGATCACATAGGTTGAGACTAAAAACAGGCTTTTCTATCCCCTTTATGGTGACATGTACTTATTTATTTATTTACTTATTTATTTAATCCTCACCCAAGGACATTTTTGTGTGTATCTTCAAATAGAGAGGGAGGGAGAGAGGGAGGAAGGGAGAGAGAGAGAAACATTGATGTGAGAGAGGCACATCGAGTGGTTGCCACCCACACGACCCCAACTGGGGCTGGGGACAAACTGCAACTGAGGTACGTGCCCTAAGCGGGAATTGAACCCGGGACTCTCCAGTCCGCGGGCTGACTCTCTAGCCGCTGAGCCAAACCAGCCAGGGCTGTGGTGACATTTCTTAAGACCTCCCCTAATATTTCATTTTTAAGTTCCCAGTTCTATTGGGGTCCAGGTCTATAAGGATTCCTCTGAACAGTCATAACCAGAAAAATTAAGGTCCCAATAAACACAAGAGTCTCATCTGGAGAGGCTTGAACCATCTATTTTGCTTTTTCCACCCTCAGCTGGGAATGGTGCAGCCAGGTCGGGATGCCGTTGACCTTGACAGCCGTTGGTGCAGGCAGGATGACAGTGTGTGGTCCCTTCCAGGCTGGAGTTAGTCCCTGGGTGGTGAACTTCTTTACCCACACGGAGTCCCCGGGCTGGAAGGGGTGCACAGGGTTCGAGGTGGGCACAGGCAAGGCATCACGGACGTGCTTATGGACGGCCTTCTGGCAGACTGCAGGGCCTGCAAGAACTTGAGTAAGGAGCAGTTGTGAATTTCAGCCTTCAGTTCTTCCCTGAGCTTGGAAAGAATGGGAGGAAGTCTCCATACATAATTTCAAAAGAGGAGAATCCCTCCCAGTGTGGAGTACATCTCGCCTGTAAGAGGGCGAGGGGGAGCAGAGTGGTCCAGTTTTCACCGGTTTCTAAAGTAAATTTGGTTACGGTTTCCTTTAAGGTCCTGTTCATGCGCGCTGCCTGCTCCCTGTGGGCGGTAAGCACAGTGGAGCTTCCCATTTCTATTGCACCCCTTAGAGATATCCTGTGATGACCTTGCTATCAAGGCGGGGCCGTCGTCTGATCCAAGGGTCAGGAGTAGCCTACACCTGTTACTCCCTTTACTACATCCCGACTGTTATCCCACCACCAGGGACAAGCTCTCCCTCTCTCACTCAGTGTCCTATTTTCTTTCCTTCTTGAGTTTTCCTCCAATGTCCTGTCTTCCTGTAATATGTATGTCCTTTTATTTTACCCTTTTTATCTTTTCACTTCCTTCCTCTACACAATCCTTCTTCAACTTGCATAGACCCTCTGCAACTTTCCTAGTCCCTCCCCTGACATGAACCTGAGAGCTTGCTCAGTCCACCTGCTGTCTGCACACCCCCCAGCTTTCCTTCTCCTCCTCCCTACTCAGACCACACATCCCTGCTTCCCTCCGCCTCCTCCCTTTCCCTGGGACCTAACTGGACATTGCCCGCCTCTCAGGAGTTCAGTAAGCTTGGTGTACCTTAAGTGGGTAGTCTGGTGCAGCTGGTTGACCAAAGTCCGACCTAGAGCGTCTGGGACCAACAACCTCCTAACAGGCAGAGTCCACCATTCATTGATTTCCTTTATCACTTGTTTCTGCTTGGCTAAGTCATTTTCTGACCTAGTGTATCTGGAGAGGCCCCACTGGTTTTAGGGCTACTTCTTTAGCTTCCTGATCTGCAGCAGATTTCTCTTGCCCTATTGAAGAGCCTGGATTAGGGCTGTGAGTTCAGTCTGTTGGGCTGACGTTCCCCTATTCAAGGACTGTGACCAGACGACATGGTCCAGAGTTACTACTGCTGCCCCAGCATACCTAATTTCTTCCAGAACATAGCTGTCCTGTTCATGAACAACACCTCATCTGATGATGGCAGTAGGACATCCTTGAGGTCTGGGCGGGCTGTACGCACTATGTCGATTTCCTCCAGGCAGTCCTGTACAGGTTTCTCCGGGTCATTGTCTGGAGGCTTGATGACCAACATCTTGTGGAACATGATGTGGGGCTGGCCTGGAGTGGCAGTAGCCAGCAATTGAACAGTCACTAGAGAAGATCATGTCCAAGTAGGGGGTATGGGCACTCCAGCAGGACCAGGAACGAATGAGTCACAGTATTTCTTCCAAGGTCTATAGTCCTCTTTGAAGGCCAGTGGTAGGTTAGGGCCCCACTGGCTCAGTCAGGACTGAGTCTGCTGCACAAGTATCTACCAGAAAACTAAGCAGTTTGTCCCCAGTGTCTTGTTATTCTTGGCTCCCGAGGGCTCAGTTGGAAGGAGCCCTGGCCCTGTCATTTTTCTAAGTAAAAGACGGCATTTTCCTTTGTTCCTCTACACCTAACTTTGCCCTTGTTTTTCTATTCCTAATCGAGACCTAGGCCTGCCATCCTGGCTCTTCCTCATGTTTCCCTTCCTAGGGTGATCCTTTTCCATGGGCCCTGTTTTCCTTAAGGCTGCTATTATTACCTTTGCTATTCTTTTATCTTGTTTTCCCCCAGGGGTGTTCCTATTATTATATACCTTTTGAGCTATTTCAACCAATGGGGCCTTTAGGCCTAACAGGAGAACACGGTGAAAAGTGTCCAAGGAAGCCTTCCCTCCGGCAGTATTTGGGTCCCATTGCGGGCAGAGGGATGGGAAAATTTCCTCTGAACCCAGGTTTTCAAAAGGATGCAGGAAAGGGGAGTGTCATCCTAGCGCACGTGTTTACATGGGGCAGAGTGTTTTTCAACTCTAAGAGCATTTCTTTTTTTTTTTTTTTTTATTCAGATAGAGTGGGGAGCGAGAGAGAGAGAGAGAGAAAGAAACATCAATGTGAAAGGGACACATCGAGTGGTTGCCACCCGCACAACCCAACCAGGGCTGGGGATAAACTGCAACCAAGGTACATGCCCTTAGCGGGAACCGAACCCGGGTCTCTCTGGACCGCAGGCCAACGCTCTAACCGCTGAGCCAAACCGGCCAGGGCTCTAAGAGCATTTCACACCCACACCCAACTCCTCAAAGTTAACAGCTCTGCAGGAAACCTGCGCTGTTGCACTCACTGCTGCCAAACCTGTGGGGCCACCCCAGGCCGGCACTGAAAGAATCCTTCCTCGGCTAGACCACTCTCCCCCAGGAACCACCAACTCCTGTGGCCTTTGGGTAAGTGCCTGCCCGTCCGCCCACCACCCGCCTCCCCCATTTCCCAGGACCAGGGGCTCTCTGCACTGGACCCCGGTCCCAATGTGCAGCGCCATGCAAGACGCACACAGTGGCCCACTGGCAGGGACAACCCCTTCCCGGCTGCTCCCCTTTCTTGGTGCTTCTGCAGCAGCCATTTGTGTGTTGGGGCCCCGGGCACATGGGGGAGTTTAGCCTCCTCCGGGGGTTGGCGCGGAAGGATGAGGGTCTCGTCCCTATAAATTAACAGGCAAATGATCTAAAATATAGGATTTAAAAAACCCAGTGTTGCCCTCAGAATATTTCCATTTGATAAACTGTGCACTTTTTGGGGGCCTAGAAACCTGTCCTATTCCTTGTAAATCAGCCACAGAAACATCTGCTCCTGTATCTAAAATACCTTTAAATTTCTTCCATTCAAACTGAGCTCTATTCCCGGGAGACCTTAGGTAATTAACTACACCAAATAGGCTCCGTCTGTGGAGCCAGATACCCCCTCTACCCGAGGTTCCTTTGATAGCACTTTCCCAGCCGCCTGATGCGGTAAAATCACAATCCGTGCTATTCTAGTTTCCGGTGAAACTTGTACAATGATATTAGTGGTTTGGGCCATAACTTTTATTTCCTTCAAATAATCAGAATGAATAACTCCAGGCAACACTTGAAACACTTTCATAGTGAGACTACTCCTTCCTAAGGTCAAACCCACTGTTCCATTAGCAGTGGACCCCCGTTGGAATAGCTTGCGGCCCCATCTCTGGTGTTAACACGTATCGGGCGGTGGGGCAGAGGTCTAGCCCTACACTGCCCGAGGTGGCGCGGTAGAGATCCCGGATGGTAGTCCGGGACTCCACCCTGTTGAAACACCTGAGTAGGGCAGGCATTGCCTCTACTGTTTGATCAGGCCGGGGCTGGCCTCGCTTGCTTTTTCCTTGCTGGGGTTCAAGCGGTTGTCCATTGACATCAGTGTGAGAGCACCAATATTTGGCTCAATGACGTCTCCTGCGGCAACAAGGACATAGTCCTGGCTGCTTGGCAGAGCTCCCTGACTGGTTGTCAGTGCCAGCACTGCTCACACTCTTTAGCAGAATGACCTGGCTTTCCTCAAGTAGAACATCCTGTCCTGCTTCCTCCTGCCTCACCGGCGAAGGAGACTCCTTTCAAAGCCTCAGCTATTGCGCCCCCAGTACATGGGAAGACCCAATATCTGAACAAATGCGATGAATTCAGATATATTTAGTTTCTTTAGGGTAAGGGCTCAGTGCCTCCTGGAAGGGCTTATTAGCATTCTCATAGGCACACTGTTTAATTATTGATGTGCCGGCCCCTGAATCACTTATTATTCTGTTAACTGCCTGTAGCAACCGAGCTACAGAATCTTGCTCTGGCTCTTCAGGTCCTTGTCTAATGGATGTAAGCTCTAGCGGATTCTCCCCTTTTGTTGGGAGCTCTTCCAGGCCTTCAAAGCACAAACATTAATCTGCTGATATGCCTGGTGAGCAAACCCCAGCCGATCATGAAGAGCCTGATATTGCCCTGTACCCGTGAGCATTTCCAAAGAGATAGGCACTCCATGTGTTGATTCTGTGTGGCCTGCTCACCACTAATCTCCATCTTCCACATCAGACAGTCCCCAGGTGTAAGGCAAGCTTCCACTAATGTTTGCCAATCACCCAGGTCTAAGGCTTCACTAGCAATACTCTCTAATAAACTGAGCACAGAAGGAGCTGTGGGCCCATACATAGTACAAGAAGACGAGCTCTTTCAGCATCTTACATGGGATGGGCTAATGCATTCCTAGTGCCTGACCTGGACTGTTCGGGTCAGGCTGCTCTATCACTGGGAATCATGAAAACCCAGGGGTATCCTCCCCAGCCCGTCTTGCCTCTCTTAGTCCTATCTGTAAGGGAGAGAGTAATGGGGCACTGGGGGTTCTTTGGGCCGAGCCCCTGCATCCCCTCGGGATGGTCAAGAGGTAAGAGACATTTTCGCAAAACCTTAAGGAACATTAAACTCCTCATCTGAATCTTCCTCGGCGTGGTTCCACCGATCTCACCTCTCCTCTCTCCAGTTCTCTCTCATACTCTGGAAGTAGAGTCTCGTCAGGGGGATTAACCTCTCACAGCTGCAGCGGAAGGTGGGGGGGGTCTTTAAGGACTCAAAGCCTTTCTCAGCTTTCGTAGAGTCTTTCACTACACCTGCTTCCCCGACTTATCGGCAATCTCTAATTAGGGCCCACAGAGGACGTGTTCGGCCGGAGCCTTGTTCGGGCCTTTCGCTGTGTCTCTGCCTCGCGGGCACTTCCCTACCTTCCCCAGGTTTCTCTTGGGGCCCAGTTTGGGGCCCGCTGCCAGTACTCGTGCCCTGGCCTGGAGGGCAGGGCTCTTTAACTATGGGGGTCTCGTTAAATTAAGCCATTGATCATTATAGGGGAATTGGTCTGGGTGTCCTGTGACCTGATTCCAAACGGCCTGCACTAAGTCAGGCTAAAGAACCCCGTGTCAGGCCAGCCCACCCCGGATGTGGGCCGATGTCATTCACAGAAGGTCCTTCACTTTCCTTTAGATGTTTTTGTGCCCTAATCAGAACCTGCTTCAAATCCTTCCCTAAGAACGTTTACTCTGCAACCCAGTGAGGTCTCCTGGGCACCAGGGCTGCTGTCCGTGATTAGAGCAACCGCAACGAAGTCGAGGGAGACCCGGCAGGGAGGCAGACAGGACCACAAGGGAAGACACACAAGACAGAGACTTTCGCTTCGTCCGCCCGGCTGCTCCCCTCGCAGGGATTTCAGGCACCTCCAGGCATGTGGCAGGTTAGAATAAGCCCCCGACTCAGATCAGGCTCGCGGTGGGACACCAGAGTGCCCCAAGGACCTGATACTGCCTTTTGCCTTATGAGGTAGTCGCGGAACCGCAGGTTAGGACTCGCACGGGCTTCGTAACAAGCATCGTGGAGCATGATCACTCACACACGATTACATTCACACAGTCACACTCACACACCAGAAGTTCCCCGGAGGTGATCAGACTCCCCTTTTGCCCCAGTGGCAGGCCAAGGAAAATTCCTTATCCTGTGGGAACAGACTGAACCCCACCTAACGTCTTAGGGGGATTCCCAGGTGGGGAGAGGCTGTGCCACATCCGGCCCGCTCACTCACCCAGAAAGACTGGTCACCCAGAACTCACCTTTGGAGTCTTTTTACCAGTTCTCCTTAAATCTTTTGGGGACGTCTTGGCACCTCCCGGCTGCTCGTTGGAAACCCAAGTAGGATCTTTGGGGCCCTGGAACGTCTTAGGTGGTACCCCCCCTAAGGAACTCTGGGTATCTGGTGGCTGGACTGGAAGAGGCCGCTCGCCCTAGGCGTCCATCCCCTGGTGTCACAAAACACCAGGGATCTCGCTGGGGCCTCCAAATGTTGTAACATGTCAGCGAGATAACCAGAGACGCACAGCCGAGTCGTACAGGAGCACTTTATTCACCAGTGGGCTGGGGGCTCTCCCCAAATCACAGCCCTGAACCTCCTTTGTTCTTTGCTTATATAGGCACAAACTACAGAAAAAAACTACATTCTTCTTGGCTCTGCTTAATTGGTGCTGGGGCTGATGCAGACTCCTCCAGAGGCAAAAGGGGGATCTGTTGCAGGGGTCAGGGCAGTCATTAATCTCTTCCTTTTTATGGTCCCTCCGAGTTTCCCAAGGCCACCATTAACCCCTTATCTTTATGGTTCCCCTGGGTGTCAGTCCCAGGTTTTTTAGAAAGCTGCTCAGGTGTTTACATGCAGGAATAACTGGTCAGAATGGTGTTTAATTTTTAAAATAGCCCAGTTCAATACTATGGTC